TAGGCTGCTGTGTCTCTGTTGGCATGGAAAAGACTCACTTTGCAAATGGATTGTAAGCATTCACTGGACACTGGAGGACGGGTGATGGGGGGGTGAGTAACATGGACACCTGGACGCTTTACCCTGAAATTAGTGCACGTATTAGCATGCCAATAAGCAATCAGTCATGGGATGGCTCTGCAGATGGCTTTTATTCATTACTGAAAATGAGATACAGCAAACACCAAAGACTGCGGTGTGGAACAGGTATTTACTTAACCTTATTTCCTGTGTCTTTAGAAGGCAAGGGTCATTTGAGTAAGGAACTCTCCGAACAATGGCTCTGAACAAGGTATAAAGGTATAAATGAAACATTCTAGGACATTTATAGTGCTTTCTGACAATGTGTAAAGACTAGATACATAACACTATATTTTAAACCAAACCCCAGACCAGATAAATAAATAATGTGATAAAACATGACCTTTTGTATCAATATCTAAAAAAACAAAACTTTAAAAAAATATATTTTTAGCAATACATTTCAGTCTACCTGCTATAAAATCATGCACAGTCAATTCAGGGCATGCGTGCCTCCCTCCTTATCTATTTAACAGTATAAAAAGCAAATATTAAAACAAAATGCCTTCATATGGCAGCGCAAACAGCATAGGGTGTCCCGGAATGTTTTATATAGACCCTAGGATGGGGGAGGATTGGGCCTGCCCCATCTCCACAACTACTATCTCGCGGCCCAGATAGCCCAAATTGCTATGTGGCACTCAGCACCAGGAGACCGACGATGGGCAGACCTAGAGGCCGGCATCATGGGGGCAGACCTACCCCAATTTTATATCTGGCTACAGAAAGAACAAAGGACCCTATTACGCACCCAATGCCCCGCAATCCTAAATTCAATACGGGTTTGGGACGCCACAGGTCTAAAATACAAACTGATAACCTCCCCCTCCCCCATGATGCCGGTCCTGAGAAACAGGGCTTTCCCACCAGGAATCCGCGCCAGAGACTTTAAGAATATAGAGAGGGCGGGCCTACAGCGGGCGATCCACCTGTACGAGGGCGACCAGCTACTAACGTTTGAAACATATGTTTCTATATGCTAGCAGAATGCTTGGTTGTATAGGGAGAGGTATTAGCAGTAGAAAGAGGGAAGTGCTCATGCCATTGTACAGAACACTGGTGAGCCCTCACTTGGAGTATTGTACACAGTACTGGAGACCGTATCTTCAGAAGGATATTGATACCTTAGAGAGGGTTCAGAGAAGGGCTACAAACTGGTTCATGGATTTTGGGATAAAACTTACCAGGAAAGGTTAAAGGATCTTAACATGTATAGCTTGGAGGAAAGACGAGACAGGGGGGATATGATAGAAACATTTAAATATATAAAGAGAATCAACATAGTAAAGGAGGAGACTATATTTAAAAGAAGAAAAACTACCACAACAAGAGGACATAGTCTTAAATTAGAGGGACAAAGGTTTAAAAATAATATCAGGAAGTATTACTTTACTGAGAGGGTAGTGGATGCATGGAATAGCCTTCCAGCTGAAGTGGTAGAGGTTAACACAGTAAAGGAGTTTAAGCATGCGTGGGATAGGCATAAGGCTATCCTAACTATAAGATAAGACTAGGGACTAATAAAAGTATTTAGAAAATTGGGCAGACTAGATGGGCCGAATGGTTCTTATCTGCCGTCACATTCTATGTTTCTATGAAAGGGTGTGGGAACCCTGGAAGGCCACGCATAGAGACGAATGAAACTAGAGCGGGGCAGAGGGCAGCGCCGCCCCTGGTCAACCCTGGGCGTGATCTGGGCGAAACTCCGGTCTCCAGTAGGGATGTCCCGAATAGTGATGTCCCGAACGGTTGCCACGAACGGTTCGCCGCGGACTCATCATTGAGTAAACTTTGACCCTGTACCTCACAGTCAGCAGACATATTCCAGCCAATCAGCAGCAGACCCTCCTTCCCAGACCCTCCCACCTCCTGGACAGCATCCATTTTGACGGTACAGGGTCAAAGTTTACTCAATGATGAGTCCGCGGCTAACCGTTTGCGGACATCACTACTCTCCAGCTTTTTTATGCGGAAACGTTTTTACTGACAGTAGTTTCAGACCAATAAGATTTTTGGAAAACATAGAGCTACATACGTAGCTGTAGTAGGTTGCAGTTTTGTGGAGCTCTACCCCCTGATTGGTAGCTTTCTGGTGAAGCAATGACCAGACATGTCAGTTTCCATTTGGGCAGCAGAGCCAGCCACCTGTGAGTGAAGGTATGATATTGGCCTTTCTATTCTGGGGTCCATCATTGGCTCATAGTACCAGGGGACGGGGTTACAGTGCCAACAGAGAGAGAAACAAGCAGCCATCTTGAAAGTAGCAAAGAGAGCTCAGCAGCAGCAGCTGTGGGAAAGCTCAGACAACTGTTTAATATAATGGTTTTCTATCCCCACTAGTCTCAGTGTTAGTCTGAGATCTGATTAGGAGAGGGAATTCTTTAAAATATATAATTAATTTTATCATTGTACAGCGCTACGGAATCTGATGGCGCTATATAAATAATAAAATAATAATAATCATGTTTGGTCTCACTACAATATTTTGGTACCATCTAATTTTGGGTACATCTCCTAGCTTACAGTGGGTGCAGTCATCTTTAAAAAAGTCGCAGTGGATGGAGAGAGGCAGGGATAGCAAGATACAGCATATCCCTCCCTTCCCTCTACTGACTAAATTTATTTATTTCTAAAATATTTTACCAGGAAAGATACATTGAGATTTCTCTCGTTTTCTAGTATGTCCTGGGTCCACAAAACATTGCACTGTTACAATAGGGTTCAATTAAATACAAAAACAATATTAATACATAATATATAGAAAATGTAACATAGAACAGGTAGGAAATATATAATCAACTATGACACGTGCATTCTGTGCTGTTCCTTAAATCCTCTAAGGAAGAGCACAGAGCAAGCTAGAGAGTTCAGCCAGCTTCT